AATTCAGTCTCATGTACTTTATCTTCTGTTGTGGTTTGATCTTCACGATTGAATTCTGAGATATAATATTCAACTCTAGACTTGTCCCTATGATTAAATTGGCCATTTTCTTTTTTCTTTTTCTTCTTCTTTTAATTATTTTTATTTTAGAGGTTTTTGCTATAGGGTGCATGCACTTGCCAGAAAGACAGAGAGATAGAAAGCAAGAAGTCAACCCCCCCCAGGAGGGGTGGCCACGCTGCAATCCCTTCTCCTCCATTCTCCTCTCGGGATCTTGGACACACATGCACACACACCCGGCGTAAGTTTAAGCCACCGGGTCTGGGACTCGAACCGTGGTCAGCTACATGGGAGTTCAGCAACATAGTCATTACATTAACTGCTGGTCCCAAGTAGGCCATTTTCCTAGTGTTTGAACTCCTATTTCTGTGTGACTACATTTAATTTTCCTGACATAGCACTCCCTTGAGAACTTCTTGGAGATCTGGTCTGGTGCTGGTAAATTCTTTCAGGTTTTGTTTATCTGAGAATTTTCTTGTTTTTTTCTTCCCATATGAAGGATAATCTTTCTGGCTATAGTATTCTCGGTTGAAATTGCTTTTCCCTTAACACTTTGAATATATTTTCCCATTCTTTCCTTGCTCGCGTTGTTTTCAATGAGAAGTCTGCTGTTAGTCTGATGGGATATCTTTGTAGGTAACTTGCTGTTTCTCTCTTGCCAAGTTTAGTATCTTGTCTTCATCTGTGGTTTTGGTCAGTCTGGCTATAATGTGTCTTGGAGAAGATCTTCTTGAGTTGATTCTATTTGGGGTCCTTTGTATTTCTTTGGGTCTGGATCTTTGAGTGCTTCTCTAGGTTTGGAAAGTTTTCTTGCAGGATTTTATGGAATAGATTATCAATGCCCTTATGAGTCTCTTTATCTTCTGGGATGCCAGTTATCCAGATGTTTGAATGTTTGATGGTTTCTAATATTTCTTGTATATTAGTCTCAATTTTTTGGATAATTTTCTCAGTCTTCATGGTGTATTTTTCTAGACCAGCAATTTTCTCTTCTATCTCTGAGATTCTATTTTCTGTATTGTTTAGTCTACTTTTAATACTTTCAAGAGAGATTTTTTACTTCCTGTATTATAGTCTTCATCTCTAACAGTTCCATTTGATTCTTTTGTAAAGTGTGTAACTCCTCTTTTAGATCTTGCAAGAATTTCCTCACCTCCTGAAACTCATCAGCTCCTTTCTCCTTATTATTCTGCAGTTTATTGTCTCTCTTCTCTTCCATCTTTGTTAGCTTTGCCATTATGAATGTTCTAAATTCTTTATCAGACATTTCCATGATTTCCATTGAACTGTCTGCAGATGAAGAGGAGTTATTCTTTTCCATTGGAGGAGATGTATTTTCTTGCTTTCCCATGTTTCTTGTGGTCCGGTGGTGATTTGTAGTCATCTGGTGGAAAGTGTGTTTCTTCCCAAACTTGAAGTACAATCTGAGCATCCAAGAGCATGCAGAAAAGGGAAAAGAGAGAGAAAGAGACAACAGCAATAAAACAACCAAGAAACAGAGAAAAAGAGAAGAAAAAACTTTTTTAAAAATTTGAAAACAAATTATTTATTTATTTATTTATTTTAAAAGCAAAAATTAGAAAACCACGTGAACTCACTACTTCTCAGGAGCCATGAAGGTGTCTTCTCCCTTGCCTCTCCTGGGTTGGGAGGAAAGGGGGTTATTAACAAGATAAAAGAGAGGAGGAGCTGAAAGCCCAGAAAATGCTTTACTTTAAAAAAATTTTTAAAGGAAAAATTACAAAAAATTAGAAGACAGATGGAAGTAGAGAGAGGCAGAGACAGAGAGAAGGCTTGAGGGAGTTCCTGCCACTGGATTTGTGGGCTGGAGGCTGAATTATCAATAGAAAAATCTTCATTTCTTTATTCCCTGAACTCACTAGTTCTCAGGAGCCATGAAGGTGTCTTTTCCCTACTGAATTATTGGTTTTTTATTAGTTATCAACTCACTTTAAAACCGTTAGATAGGGCAGTTGATTTAAAACAAAAAAAGTGGGGACCAGCAGTTGGTGTAATGGCTATGTCGCTGGACTCTCATGTAGTCAACCACAGTTTGAGTCCCGGACCCGGTGGCTTAAATTCACACCAGACACGTGTGCCTGTGTGCCCAAGATCCCAAGAGGAGAATGGAGGAGAGGGGATTGCAGCGTGGTCATCCTCCCTGGGGGGTTATTTCTCACTTTCTGTCTTTCTCTGTCTTTCTGGTGAGCACACACACCCTATAGCAACAAAAACCTTTAAAAAAATTAAAAACAGAAACCTGGACATTCATATAATGCCAAAATAGCATCATATGAAATACTTAGTGTCCTCAGTGGGGAAAACATAAGTGTATAATGGGAGGAGTCAGAATCATCATCCTAATTGATAGATGAATCTTAGAGGATTAATAACAAGTCAGCAAGTACTGAATCTTCTAATGCATTGCAGACTGAATGTACAATATTACCTATGATATAGTCTAGCTAAAAAGATGTAGCTTGGGTCCATTAAACCTGTTTTTTTTTTCTTGAGAGATTTTCGCTATAGGGCGTGTGCGCTCACCAGACAGAGACATAGAGACAGAAAGCGAGAAATCAGCCCCCAGGGGGTATGGTCACACCGCAATCCCTTCTCCTCTCGGGATCTTGGGCACGCATGCACATGCGCCCGGTGTGGCTTTTAAGCCACCTGGTCTGGGACGCGAACCACGGTCGACTACATGGGGGTCCAGTGACATAGCCATTATGCTAATTGCTGGTTCCCGGTCCATTAAACCTTTTGAAATGACTTTCAGCTTTTGAGAAATTCAAAAGAGAGGTCTTACTCAACAGAGAAATAAGCTAAATAATAGCATGAAAATGTCACTACATAAATTCAGAAGATGGAGCATTCTGTAGAAAAATAACTGGGCCTCTTCAGCATGACGTGGTATTTAAAACAGAGAACAGTGCTAGATTAATATTTTTTAAGAATTTTAAAATTTTATTTGTTATTATTATTTAAATTGGTGATAGAGTACATGTGTACAGGTTCAGACTACAGTCAGTCATGTGGGAATTTAGTCCCTTAACCACCATGCCACAGGCTGGCCCCAGTGCTAGATTAATACTGAAAAGTTACAGAGATAACCAAAACCAATGTGTAGTCTGGTATAGCATGTGGTGTTGTGGGTAAGGCACTGGGCTCTCATGTCCCAAGTCCCAGACCAATAGCTTAAAACCTACTCTGGGCACGTGTATATGCATGCCCAAAATTCCAAGGCATGGAATGGAGAAGAAGAGATTATGGCATGGCCATCCCACCTGGGGAGTGATTGCTTACTTTCTGTCTCTCTCTCTGGTGACTGCATGTACATTATAGCAAAAATCTCTCCAAAAAAAGGTGTAATCTGGTAATAGGTACTGATATGAAACAGTTTGGGAAAACTGGATATGGTCTGAAAGTATTAGTAGGAATATAATTGAAATAGGAAAAGTGAAAAATGATTGGAAAATGCAGGTTGTTAAGTTATATTGTATTGATTGAGTTCTGGTAAAAATAAAGGTATGGAGCCAGCAGTTGGTGTGGTAGTTAAGGCTCTGGATCCCACATGTTTGACTCCACTGTTTGAGTCTCAGACCCAGTGGCATGAAAAACATGCCAGGCATATGTGCATGCCAGCCCAAAATCCTGAGAGAGGGATTGCAGTGTGGCCATACCCCTGGGGGATGATTTTTCACTTTCCCTCTTTCTCTATCTCTCTCTGGCAACTGCACATGCCCTATGGCAAAAATATAAATAAAGAAATAGAAATCGTGAAAGTGGGGAGAAAATTGTGTTTATGTGTAATAGGAAAAGAACTATAAGGTCTTAAAACACTGAATTGTTATTGGCAGAATGTGATTTTATTTTATTTTTGTTATGTCTATTATGTTCATTGTATTTACTGCTTCTGCAATAATTTTTTTTTTTAGAAAGGGATTTTGCTATAGGACTCGTGTGCTCATCAGAGAGACAGAAATGAGAAATCATTCCCTCCAGGAGGGAGGGCCATGCCACTATCCCTCCTCCTCCATTCTCCTCTTGGGATTTGGGGCATGCACACACATGTGCCCAGCATGAGTTTAAACCACTGGGTCTGGTACTCAGATCACAGTCAACCACACGGGAGTCCAGCAACGTTGCCACTACACCATCTGCTGGTCACCCTGCAATAAAATATTTTAAAAATAGGGACCAGTGGTTAGCGTAATGGCTATGTCACTGGACTCCCATGTAGTCGACTGCGGTTCAAGTCCTGGACCCAGTGACTTAAACTCAGGCCAGGTGCATGTGCGTGCATGCCCAAGATCCCAAGAGGAGAATGGAAGGGACTGCGGCAGGGCCAGACCCCCGGGGGGGTGATTTCTCACTGTCTCTCTGTCTCTCTCTGTCTTTCTGGCGAGCACAAGTGCCCTATAGCAAAAACCTCTCCAAAAAAATTTTTTTAATAAATTACATAAAACAAAATTTGATAGATTTACATCTAATTCCAGTTTTAATGTTTCAAAATTTTATGAGCAGCGCTTGTAATAATTGCTTGTCAGAAAAGTCATGATGTATTTTTCTATGTTTGTAATGCAAAAATGCATCATGACTTTTTTTTTTTTTTGCTACAGGGCACCTGCGCTCGCCAGACAGACAGAGAGAGACAGAGAGACAGAAAGTGAGAAATCACCCCCCAGGGGGGATGGCCACGCCACAATCCCTTCTCCTCCATTCTCCTCTCGGGATCTTGGGCGTGCATGTACATGCGCCTGGCGTGAGTTTTAAGCCACCAGGTCCGGGACTCAAACTGCGGTCAACTACGTGGGAGTCTAGCAACATGGCCATTACGCTAACTGCTGGTCCCATCGTGACTTTTACTACAACCTAATATAGTCAATATTTAAAATTTCAGTTTCTATGAAACTATGATAATTTATCTCTTTATTTCTTAGATAGAAAGCTTGGATTTTTTATTTCTGTTAAAGACAATTGAGGAATTCTATAAAAATGAAGATGGAGAAAATCTGGAAATCCTCTGTCCAGTTCAAGATCAAGCCTGTGTGGCTAAATTTGAAGATGGAGTTTGGTACCGAGCAAAAGTCACAGGTAGTAAAGTACATACATTTTCTATAGGAATGTTAAACTTCAAAGCTAATATTGTTTGACTTGATAGAAACTAAATCTTAGAAGTGATATTATTTGATGGTACCATTTGCTCTGTCATCTGTCTTTAGAAAGCTAGTGATAATGTTGGGAGATGGATCTCTGGCTCCTGAAACTTTGTTTGTCTTAACTAGGACTTAAACATTGAGAATCAGTTCAGAGAAGTAGATGACAGTACAAAGTAATGAAAGTTAATTATTCAAAAACTGGTGACTTCTATCTTCATATTGACTGATCATGTCTATTCTATGCAATTTTGTTTGTGAAGGTGCAAACTGAATATAGACTCTGTTGTGTCTACTCAGCTTCCCTCTTGACTTATATGCTTTTCTCCTGGGAATTATTTACCAGACAATTACTCAGTTTCTTTCTCTACATTTTCTATATCCTCCCTATGACAAGTAAGTTAATTCAGCTAATGAAATAATGGGAAAAAGAAAAGTAGGATGGGAAACAGAAGATTTATGACAGTGGACTAATAGCAAAAGTAGGAAAGTTTGTTTGCCTAAGAGAAAACAATTATATACCAAACCTTTGTAATTTCAGGAGTTAGATATAGCAAGCACAGTTTCACTCATTGTATTATGTTTGTTTCTTTTCATTCTTTCTAGTTTGTAGATAGTTTTTTTTTTAATGAAAAGAGTTTAGTTTTATTTAGTTTGATGCTGTTTAAAAAGTTTTTTTTTTTTTATTAATCTAAGGTCTTTGCCAGTTACTTCTAATATATAGCCACTTCTGTATCTTGCATCAAAATTTTTTAGTCTTCCAACGTAAGCTTTCTATTCTTCAATGTCACTATTAATTTAATTAGTAGTTAGTGACTTGAACTAGCTAATGTGGTTTTCATGAGTATTTTAGTCTATTTGTGCTGCTATAACAAAATACCACTGGGTAATTTATAAGCAGTAGAAATTTATTTCTCACAGTTCTGAGGCTGGGAAGTTCAAGATGAAGGAGTTGGTTAGTGGGAACCTGTTTGATCTGTTTCTTTGACACCTTGTGCTGTATCTTCCAAAGGGGACACTGTGTCCTCACATGGCAGAAAGCAGGAAGGCAAAAAAGGGGGAAGACTTCCTCTGCCAAGCCCTTTTGCAAAGGCACTTAACCTGTTTGTGAGTGTAGATCCCTTGTGACTCGGTCTCTTCACAAAGGCCACAGTTCTTTGTACCTTTGCATTGGGGATTAAGTTTCAACCTAAATTTTAGAAGGAATAAAAACATTCCAGTGGGACCAGCAGTTAGCATAATGGCTATGTCACTGGACTCCCGTGTAGTGGACCACAGTTTGAGTCCTGGACCCGGTGGCTTAAACTCACGCCAGGTGCTTGTGCGTGCATGCTCAAGATCCCTAGAGGAGAAAGGAGGAGAAGTGATTGCGGCATGGCTATCCCCCCAGGGGGTGAGATTTCTCACTTTCTGTCTCTCTGTCTCTCTCTGTCTTTCTGGCAAGCACAAGCACCCTATAGCAAAAACCTCTCCAAAGGAAAAAAAAAAAAAACACATTCCAGTAACAGCAATGAAGATACCACTTTATGTTTCAGTATATCTGCCGAACAAATAAGAACATTTTTCATAACATTAAAGACTTTTCAAATTAAGATAGTTTCAAAACATTATCATCTATTTAATAAGTAATATGGCCTCTAAAATTTTTTGAGTAGCAATACTTGGAAAGGGTACAGTTTCCATGATGACTTTTAGGGTGCTAAAAAGAAGTGCATTATTGGTAGTTGGCTTGTCTTCCCTACCTTCCATAGCCCTATTAAACTTCACCTTCAAGATCATCATTAGTTCTACAAATATGAGAGTTTCTGCTGTTTTCTAATGTCCACCTCATTTAGAAGTTAAAATAGTACTACAAGAGTTACATACTCCAGTCCCCTCCTTGAAAGCAACTAACTTTAATTCATTCAGGTGTTTCTCTTGGTATTTACTTGTGTTATTTTTTTCTGATAATGTATTAAACTTCAGTTCATTCTTCAATATTAGATATTATCTATTTCTTATTCTGTGCAATAATAGTTTCAGATCTCTTTATGGCTTTTTTTTTTTCCAATGAGAAGGGAAGGTAGAGCGGGAAAGAGAGCGACAGAGATACATATTTTTAACAAGGTCTTGCCTATGTTATGATCATCCCACCCTGTACTCTCAATTAGCAAGGATTGCAGGCACCCACAACTGCACCTGACATACTCAGGTTGGCCAAGGAATCAAACCTGGGCCACCATGTGGCTTCCAGCCTCCCAAGCGATAACTCTACCTATGCACCATTGTAGTTGGGCCTATTTATAGCCCTTTTGCCTTCCCTTTCCCTCCCTGCTGTAGTTATATCACAGTTCTTATTAAATCCATGTCCATGCTCTGTAAATATTTTCACTGCTGAGTCATAAAGTATACTTGGTTTAATTCTATTTTGAGTAAATAATTGTGTTGATTTTTCACTTGCCTTTTTTCTTCTAATTTATGATTATATTTTCCTGATAGTTCAAAACAATTTTCCACATGATTAGACTTTTCTGATAATCTTAGTTTGATTTTTTTTAAAAAACTGAAAAACATCCTTCTGTCTTCGCCAATTGCACTGCTTACCCTCTGAGCTTATGTATTTGTTATTATAGAAATTTATATTACTTGACAATACATTTCATTATTTTCCTATATTTGATCCTTTGTTTTATGGATTCTATGTTTACCTCTTCAGTTTACTACTTTACTTCTTCCAATAGTTTCCTCAGAGAGAATAAATTGAAAATAAATTTGAGATTTTCCATGTCTACTGACTCTACTCTTATTATTTAGAATTTATGTAAAAAAAAAAAATGTTCTTGGGCCAGTGGTACAGGGGTAACACAATTATCTGCAATTTTAAACCCACATGGAAAGGTCCTAGTTTGCAGCCCAAGGCTTCCCTGTGAACACCAGATGTGCATGTCAAAATCCAGGTTGACTTGAGACTTGAGGGTGTATTGCAGTATGAAGATCCTATCTTTCTCTCCCTCTTCATGGAAGAAGTAAATGAATTAAAAAAAAAACAATACTGATGTGAGAGTGCTGGGTGATTAGACCCAATACCTGTGCTGATTCTTGTCCTATGCTCATGAAGAATTAGAAATGAAGACACAGAAAGGAGAGTAAAGCACAGTTTCTTAGAGAAAGATGAAAAACTTACAATGTGATGAAAGTGGGCCTGAATGGGTTGCCAAAGGACTAGAGTTGAGGGGTTTTTATCTAGCTGTCTGAGCAGTAGACTGACTTTTGATAAGGAAGTGGGCTTTAGAAAATGGTTACATGGTAGTCTGAGCGATTTATTACCCTATTCTTTGTGGGATCAGCAGAATGTAGCTTTCTATACTACCTGGTGGCTTGAAATTCACACCAGGCACATGTGCATGCATGCCCAAGATCCCAAGAGGAGAGTGGAGGAGAAGGGATTGCGGTGTGGCCATCTTCCCTGGAGGGTGAATTCTTGCTTTCTCTCTCTCTCTGGTGAGCACACACGTCTTATGGCAAAAATCTCTCTCTAAAAAAGAATGCAGTTACTAAATAGTAACCGTTGCCCTTAGCTACAGTTACTTTGAATCCCAATGCAGCCAGCTTTTGCCTGTGAAAACTTAGCCACTATGACTCCATCTTGGGCCTTTACACTGGCTGTGTGCTCAGTATTCCTCTCTTGCCTTATTAGCAAGGAGTCATAAATTTTTTAGAGATATGTAAAAAACATATAAAACAGTGTACATTAACCAGATCATAGAGGAAAAACACAGAGAATTTGAAAAACATAGAGACTTTGTTAAAAAGTAAAACACTGACTTACCTTCAGTGTCTTTACCCTATGTACCTGTAAATGTAAATGGGGGGGTGTCTAACTCCTATCTCATTAATTCTCTCTCTCTCTCTCTCTCTCTCTCTCTCTCTCTTTTAAGAAAAGAGTTTATTAATGTAACTGGTTATGGGGAGACAGTCTGCAAGTATCATCAAATTGTTTCAAAAAGCTCAACATGTTCTTGGTATTTATGACACAAACATGTGCAAATCATTCCTCAGTACAATCAGAGTCAAACAGTATCCCTTAAGTAATTATCCTTGTTTCTCATCTGACCATTCAGCTAATAGATCTCCCTATGACTCAGCATATGGTCAGATTGCTCTCATCAGAGGCCTTTCTTAATTTCTTTCTTTTTTTAAATTTATTTATTATCATCATAATCTTGTTTAATATTACATTGAATCACATCTAACTTTACAGTGTATTACATTTCTTTTTCCAGAAGGAATGCCATGCATGTCAGTCAATACAGAGACATTAAAATCCCCATTTCATCATCCAATATCTTTTCATTGTTTTTCCTGATCATTATTATTATTATTCCAATTATATTTTAAACAGCCAATCACTATTTCTCATTTTGATTGTAAAAGGACTTTAACCAACATGAAATACTTCTCAAACCAATCCAATTGATAATACTATGCATGTCGTCATCAACAGGTAATAAACCATACCTGTGTCCTACTAATGTCATGCCTCTTTATTTGTTCTCTTGCTATCTTCTCTATATTCTTCTCTTCCCTTCCCCCATTCCACACTGTCTTATCCTCGTTTACTATTTTCACTGCTTTAATGTCTTTCAATATTTTGCTCTCTACCATAGAGTGTGGATAGTCAGCATATATTAAGTGGATACATACAATATCTTTCTTTAATATCCTGGCTTACTTCACTCAGCAATAGATCCTCCATATCTGACCACTTTCTATCAAATGCCAGGGTCTTGTTGTTTTTATGGCTGAGTAGTATTCTATAGGGTATATATACCACACGTTTTCATTTCTTCTTTTTTTTTTGGAGAGGTTTTCACTATAGGGCGCGTGCACTCGCCAGACAGAGAGAGACATAGAGACAGAAAGCGAGAAATCACCCCCCCCAGGGGGGTGGTCACGCTG